TGGGCGGCCCCCTGCCCCACGAGGGCTGACGCCTGTCTCCCCTGTTCCCCACACAGAGCCATGGTGACTCAACAGACATGTGAGGGTCAGGATTGAGCAAGGGTATTTATACACGCAGACAGAATAATCACTTTATTGGTAACACTGAGTTATAAGGCAGTTACAAAAGGACCCCCCCTGATAAACAGACAGTGTTGGAATATGGCTTAGCTTCTTTTAGATGAAGGAAATTTCTTGTCGCAAGGGGCTGCGAGAGAAAAGGGAGACCATACTGGTTACAAAGGATTAAAAATGACTGTGCCGGGAAGCACCATGGAGTCCCAATTTCTGGTGTATGTCACCCACTTTCATGCACCAGAGATGGAGATGTCACCTCACCCAAGAAACTTAAAGGGAAAAAAGAGGGATCAGCGTCACTCTTGACTTCAGGGTAATCTGTTGCCACAAGCTGTACGGGGCAGTAACACGAAGCCACGACGTCTCCCGGGCTGGGCCAGGTTCCCAGTACCTGAGAGATGCAGAGCGTACGATGCCTCGAACAGGTGATTGTCAAATGGCGGGAAATCCTTCCATGAAACAGACACTTGGGACACAGTGGCAAAGACATTAAGGCCTTCCATCGAATTGCCCACACTGCTTAAAGGCACTAACACCAGCAACAGAAATATTCCATACTACCACCGAGGTTTCAAAAAAGCTCCCCAAATACAAGTCTTCATAGGAAAATGTCCTTTATTGCATGACACGAAGAGTCTGCTCTTCGTCTCAGGAATAGAAGGGTCTCCCTTTCTCAGGAGTCTGGAGTCTGTTCAGCCTGGCGACCTGAGACGGGGAGGGGGGGACGTCCTGCCGGAAGGGCCCCTTGGGGGGGATGTGACTGGGGTCCTGGACTTTTTTATATGAGTCATAGTTGTTGAGCCCCTCGGGGGGAGGGGGCTGCTTCTTCATCTGCTGCTCCTTCCGCCTCTGCTCCTGGCGGAGGAGCTCCTGGGTCTCCAGCATGACCCTGGCGTTGAAGCCGTGCCCGCCCAGGTAGCCGTTCCGGGAGCCTTGGTAGCTGGAATACCTGGGGTTCTCCTTGGCACTCTGGAAGCCTTCCCCAGGGGAATAGTTTTGCTCCCAAGAATCCTGGGAGACGGAGCTGGCATTTTTCCTGCTTTGCCTAGAAAGCAAAGCCCAAAGGTGAGCGTGAGGGTTGGGAAAAGGGGAGGGAGAGAGATGGAAGGAAGGAGTGAGGGGGCAGGGCTGAGCCAAAATAGCATTTCTATATCCCAACAAACATTACAGTAAGTCCCATACATACGAACCTTCAAGTTGTGTACTTTCAAACATGCGAACGTGCGTTCGCACGTCCAATCACGGAAAGTTAGTTCACGTGTCTGGCGTACATTGTCACGTGCGTGCACCCTCTACAAATGTTTGCGCTTTTGTGTACTTTACTGTACAGCACTGTGTGGAGTACAGTAGTACAGTACCTTCATTTCAGGCCCAGGATGTCCGGAAGCAAGCAGCAGTGATGTAGCTGGTACTACTGTACTTTTCAAGTACTGTACTGTAAGATTAAACATGTTTTCTTTATTTGGGGGGTTGGTTTGTTTTTTTTTAATGTATTATTTGTGTGGAAAGTATTATAAAACGATTACAGTACTATATAGCCGACTGTGTGAGTTGGGTACCTAGGGTAACTCTGTTGGACTTACGAACATGCCCTCGGAACGGAACTTGTTCGAATGTAGGGGACTCACTGTATTTGGTTACAGTCACGTGCCAGACACTGTGATAGGGGCGGGAGGATGACTGTCCCTGGCAAGTTCAAGTCTGAGACAAGTCTGCACAAACAATGGCTACACAGGAGAGACAGCTAACAGATTCTGCAACTACTCAGAAACAGGGTCCTCCTTCTGTGCTATCTGTTCTGCTCAGGGTGACAATATCTCCTGCAGTTTAGACTCATTGGCAGAATGCTGTTAGGGGTATTAGCGACTTGGCAGCTTCTCCACCAGCAATAATTTCTCGCTTTAGAACATTACAACTGAATTCTAAACAAGCCAAACAAATATCTTACACAGCTACCACCATCATGCCAGAGACGCTAGCTAATATGACGTACGTGTGATGGATTCCGATTTGAGTTCAGTTATGAAAGATTTAAGTCTAGACTGCTTTATGATTAAAAATGCAACAGGCAGTCCCTTAAAGCCCCGGCTTTTGAGTCGTGCATGTCAGCAACTGACACCCTTCGGAATACATGCTCATCAAGATTGCAGAACCTGGACGTGTGTTGAGGGAGCACTGTTTTCCTGCCCACGGTATCCTTACCCAAGCCCAGGGTAACTTACTCAACTCATTTTCTGTCACCCCAGGATGGGGAAATAAATCAGAGTCCTATAGAAATTTCAGCTTCTTATCCCTTCTGCAATAAAGTTGCACATCATTTTCAGGAAACGTTATTGTTTTGAAACATCTTTAATTTACTATCAAGTCTCTAGACGCTTTTATGAATTTACAATAAGATTGGCTATGATAAAGTAAAACAATTTTGTGCCAGGAAGGAAGACATGCCCTAATTTTTTTGCCTTAAAAATGGAAGAGAAGGAGCGAGAATTGAGCCATAAAACAAAATATATTGCTCCATTTATCAATAAGAAAATCATTCGGTGCCAGTACGTATTGTTCAGCCTTTCACATCAACACACACAACATGACAGAGTGTTCAAAAAGACTGGTAGAGGAAAAATAAGGTCTATGAAGCACTGGGTCTCCCACAGGAATGAAGCCATTTGCATTCCTGAACATTCAGAAGTGCCGTCAACATGGTTTGGGATAAAATCTTTCCATTTTCCATATGACCTAAAATGTAGTCAAGGGTATTTTCAATAAGGAAGATGAACTACTGTCCAGAATCCTCCCTGGATATGACTCTGATTAATTGAACAGTCTACAGTATATCCATCCTTTTAATGGGAATTGGGCCATGTGTACAATCAGCCCAGGCAAGAATCCTTATATTTGATGGAATAGTTTATTTGCCTAAAGCACTGATTACCTTCACTTAAAGAGTCATAAATTAATCTGCTCAGAGCAATGAATGATGGGAAGTGCCAGCATGAAACCAAGGGATTTGACATCAATCATGAAACTTTAATTAAAACAACAAACTTGTTACTGATGTTATAGCAGCAACGTGGGGTTCCTTCTCAGGTTAGTTATCAGTTTAAGGATAACCGGAAATAGGCTTCTTCATCCTTGGTCCACGGGGATCCACTAGCCCTGTCCATCCCCGTCTCCAACTCCATGATGCCGGAGGCTTTGTTCCACGTAATCACATACCGGAAGTTGCATTTTGAATCAGTCCAGGAAAACAGAGTCTTTTTGTATTCAAACACACTGAGAATTCACTAACGGTTTGTTCAGGATGGAAATTATGACGATGTGGGAGAAAGAATTTCTTGAAGCTAAAATTTTCTTCAAATTAAGCAGTTTAGAGAGAAGGAAGAAAACCTCCCCGAGGTTCGAAGTAAGACACTTGAGGAAAGTACATACACACAGATATGTACACATGGACGCATGGACACACGCACACACACACACACACACACACACACACACACACACACGCTTCCTCAGAAAGAAAGCTAGCGTAGCAACAAGCTCTTGATTAAATAAGAGGACAAGAAATGAGCAGGTTGTAGAGAAACACAAGAAAGCAGCAGACAGAGAGTCTCTTCCACTGGAAGATGAGGCGCGCAGGCGCGGAGCACAGTGTGAGAGAGGCTGGGCGTCCCGCAGACACAGATCCAGCCCTGAGTCTGCGTGTGTGGCTGTGTGAGCCTGGGAGGGTTATCCTCCCTGTGCCCAAGGTGCATCGTCTGTGAAACAGGCCTAATCTCTAATCTCATAGGGTTCTGGGGAGAAATAAATGAAATCACAGATGCAAAATGCTCACAAAAGTGTGGCATATAGTACATGGTTCACTACTGGGTGACTTTCAAGTGACTTTGCCTCCAATAATTAGGCTCTGGGTTTGGGAGGGCATCTTTCTGACCAAGGAAAAAAATAAACAAAAAGTTCAGCTTTCTGTCCTTTGAAGGGTTGGTAGAGATCAGGGAGCAGAGAAAGGCACCAAAGACTAACTGGAGAACCCTCACTAGGGGAAGCAACTCACAAACACATCCCAGAGTTAGAATCAGAAGCAAGCTTCCCACTGTCCCAGCATTGCTCAAAGGCCACGAATAACCACAGGAGCAACAAAGCATCATTCCTTCCAATGAATGTCTTTACAGTCGACACGTAGGTTTGTTGGGTCCTGGAATGCGCTCACTGGAGACTTGTGAGTCGACCCAAAGCACGGACCCTGGTGTGGCAATAACTGCCTCTTAGTGATGATGCCTGAAGACCACTGTCATGTACGGGACACCCAGCAAAGCCCCAGCGCCTGAGGAAAGCCGTCAGTCACTGCACTGAGGAGGACACGCAGGGATGAAGAAAGACAGACCACAGCTGACAAGGTGAGAGGCAGTCGAGACACGTAATAAACGGGCCTGTGGGGGAGACTGAGTCAGGGCGTGGAGACACAGCCTGGAAGCAAGGTGGATGAGCAAGAAGCCACCAATGGCAGGAGGAAAGACGCAGAGGAAAGGTAAAGAAAAGCATTCAACAAAGAATCTTGAGTATGTTTTTCTATCAGTGACTATGACCCAACGTACTTTTCTTCTACTCAGATTTAGAGCTGCCTTTTGGATACTAAGGAACTAAGCTAGGCATTTTTTAAAGGATTTTAAAAAAGAAAGTAAAACAGAAAAAAGAAAACTAATTTAGGAATACAAAAATAAAAAAGAAATCCTCCTCTGATTGAGAATTAAGCGTGTGGCCACTCGTGTTCCCTTCCCCCGATCTCATGTTACCACCTGGCCAGTGTTTCCTACTGACATTTCACGGTGCAACCTGAATTCTGCCTATAGGTTTCCTTAATCACAGTGAGAATTTACGAATCCCTCTGGTGCGTATACATCCCTCTAATTCAAACCACCTCACCTAGCGCGCCTGATACAGAATCTCGACCATTTGTTTTCTTTCAGGCTCCACTTTGCAACTGAACCCTTTGTGTGTGCGTGAAATCGTTTTGGTATCAAATGCCACAGCAACTTGCTCAGACCAAAGTCCACTAATTGTCCACATCCGAAGGGCTGAGGTCAAGTGTCTTTGAAGAATATCACATGTCAGAAACGGGGATTCGCCTCCAGCTCATGCGGGTCACAGCCCCGCTCCGATCTCCAGCCTCTGGCTGAGTGAGGTTCCCTGCAAGGAACCAAGCTGTGTGCAAGGCCCTGCATTCCTAATTCCCTCACTCAGAGATGCACGTTGGGGAATTACAGTTGACCCTTGAACCGAATGGGTTTCAACTGCACGGATCCACTTGTACATGGATATTTTCCAAGAGTAAGTACCTCAGGACGACAGGGTCTGTGGTTGGTTGAATCCATGGACACAGAGGAGTCGTGGATGGAACCATGGATATGGAGGGCTGACAATAAGTATATGCAAATTAACCCCCCCAACTGTACTCTAAAAGAAGTGAATGTGATGTACAGGCCGACCAGCCCCACTCACCTAAACTCACACAGCTCTTTAATTTTAAGATTTCTACTTTTCTCCTATCCGCACAGAATAACATGGCTAATAGTAAGGGAGTTATAAATGACCAGAGGGAAAGTTCTGGTTCTTTAGGGAAACACTAACTGACAGCAATAGTCCCAGCAGCAGCAAAGCCTCTGGTCCATGGAATTACAGGTGCCTCTACCTGTGCTTGCTTCAGGGGGCAGGAGGGAGAGAAGCACAGAGGAGGGGAGCGCTGGAGAGGGTTAGGGGTGGAGATGGAGAGCGGGCGCCAGGATGAAAGGATCCGTTTGGAGAATTGAGCGACTTTGGAAGGTGAGCGGGAGTAATCCGGTGCACCTGCCTCTCTCTGGTCCTCTTCCCGAGGATGGGGCCCCAGAGTCTCTCCTCCCACCAGGCCCTCCCGCCCCTGTCCCTCCTCCTTCCCTTCCCTAGTCCTGGCCATTTCCCATCTCACTTTCTTCTTACACACACTTTATGAGAGCCCTCCTCCATTTCTTACAAATACCGTCAAACACAACTAAAATATAAGAAGCCAAACATTTTGCCAATAAGATAAGATCACAGCCCCTGCGCGGACAACACCATCTGCGTGGACCGTGATGCACAATGGCCACTGCGTGGCTGGGACAGCAGGGCCACGTCACGTGTGTCAGGTCATCCCCATCATCACGCTCGTCTTTCTGACAGAAGGCAAGCTGACAGGCTGCAAGAAGGGAACGTACACAGGAGAAGCTTTTTGCGTAATCCTTGAAGTGTTGCCCATTTGATGCTCTGGGGTGGTTCAGGCAGTGGCCTCCCCGCAAGTGCTAAGGGCAGCAGAGCACAGAGACCTTTATGTCCATATCTGCTCACGTTCCAAATGTGAGCACCAAAGCCCTCGGTAGCAATGAGCATTACAAAATAGTGGTTTAGGGTCGGGGTTGGGCAGGGTGGGGCTTGAATTCTGGTGGAATTACATACTAGTGTGTGACCTTGAGGGGCGTACCTTAATTTCTCTGAGTTGTTTCCTTGTAAGACGTGCTCTCCAAGGTCTTGTCTAGACCTAAACTTCAATGACTCTTGCCTAGAGTGGGCTAAATAACTGTTAGTTCTGCTCCCATGTAAACGAAAGGATACTTCTGTACTCAAAGGAGACACAGCTTTACGGATTGAGAGAGGACAGCTGAGTGATCAAGTTCCCACACTAGGCAGTGCCCCTCCTGGTACAGAGCTGCACTCACACCCACGTGGGCGTGGCTGACCCGGGTCAGTGCAGTGAAGTCCCCCAGGCCTGTTATGGTGATTATTTAACATTAAAAGGACTCACCTTTATTAGAATCAGGATCACTTTTATATCAGTCGGTCAAATTTGCCCTACCCCAGCACTCTTCCCCCCCAAATTCAAAATGGTCTACTTGATATAAACATGGTAAGTAGACCGTTTTCCACCCAAAATGTTTTTGTCACCTGGTTTTGAAATTGTGTTCCGTACCAACGCCTGTAAGAATTGTGATGATAGGAGTGACTTCTTCGGGGAAGTTTGGAAAGCTGAATGGTTTTAAACACTTTCATTATTTACAATACTTAGACGGAAAATGGCTATTATTTCAATGTCTTAGGGCACCGTTACCTGAGGGCTCTCAGGCCTTTGGCAGAGAAGCCCTGGGGCAGAGGGGCCTCCACGTGGGGAGCCCGGCAGGGAAACCCTTCTGGCTCAGCCATCAGCTAGGCAAGTGGACATCCCGGGACTCTCCAAGGTTCAACACTGAGCAGAAGCAAGGATGGCAGGACGGCAAGAGAGGCAGGTTTGGGACCACTGATCCCCCTTAAATACGGTGCCTGGAGCATTTAGCACCTATCCTTTTGGAGAACTCTAGAGTTACAAGATATCATTTATCCTAGTTACCCCTGAGCTGAGCAAAGTAAAAGTTCTCTTTCCATTTCTCAGTTGAGGAATCTGTCTCCAGCCGCATGGGAGGTCGCAGAACCAACACAGTAAGTCCCCTACATACGAACCTTCAAGTTGCGAACTTTCAAAGATGTGAACCTGCATCTGGTTCCAGAGAGGAACCAGACCTGTGCCATCAATGACAGGCGTGAGGGACATGGCAGCTCGCCCTCTGTCTCCTATTGCTGACGATCCTTCAGCTCTACCACCTCCCACCTCCTCTCCCTCCTCCAGTCCGTACCTCTTCTTGCCTGTTCACTCGATGCCAGCCCCTGCATGCCAGCTGCTGTACTACTGTACTTTTCAAGGTACTATACTGTAAGATTAAAGATGTTTATTTTTTGTCTTTGTTTTTTAGGTATTATGTGCGTGAAAAGTATTCTAAACCTATTACAGTGCAGTACTATGTAGCTGATTGTGTTAGTTGGGTACCTAGGCTAACTTTTTTGGACTTATGAACAAATTGGACTTACAAACGTGCTCTCAGAACGGAACTCGTTCATACGTAGGGGACTTACTGTACCACAACCCAGGTCTGACCCCTAGGCCCAGTCCTCGTGGATCAAGCCACTTCAGGTCCAGTGAGGGAGCTGTCCGGTGAAGGTGTGGACATCTCCTAAAACACCTCCCTCCGGGTCTCCCTGCCACGTGGTAAGGTGGCCTCTAAGTAAGCGATGATTCCCACCATCTATGTGCGGCTCTTCGTTATTGGAGAAGACAGTGCACTGGGGAGGAGGGATTTCCCAAGGGACAAGGGCGGGGAGAATGGCGACACGCTGGGGGTGCGGGTGGGGTGCTCGTACCGGGGCAGGGAGCTGTACTGGCGCTGGGCCTGCTGGAAGCTCTCGCGTTCTTCCTGCCGTTGCCGCTGCATCTGCACCTCCACTGACACCGAGTGCCGGCCGCTCTGCGCCGACGGTCTGGAGTTGGGCTGCGGGGGGGGGGAAACGCAACAGGAGTCACGAGAAAGGAATTACAAATATCACAGGACCGGTGACTGTTTCCATTCTCATAGACTGACTTAGAAACAATTTTCAACTTCCGTGAATTTCTTAAAAATCAAGTGCAATTTTCTCAAGAGGCATCTCATTGATCTTGTGAGCCCCAAATACCCCATCATCCTAAATTTTAATTACGGCTTTAGAACGGTTTAAAATTGAGACGTCCACCTTTCTAGTCTGCCTAAGTGAGGTTTGGTAAATACTGACATTAGACACTAGTTTACATCCCTTGTATATACAGCAAATACAGGGGAGTAAGGCTGCTCAGATATCTAGAAGTCAATGCCAAAAAATATAAAAATTTGCTACAATAATTCACAACAGTGGGAAAGTCCAAGGGTACACACTTGAAAGTTGGTCATGCTGGTGAATCTCTTCGGTAGTTATGTATTTTACTCTAGCAGTAGGATACAATGTAGCTGATTCCCCTTTTATTAAAGGATGACAGCTAAATTTTGAACCAAAATTAGTTGAAACTAGGCAGTGTTCACCATGTACAGGTCCTCCAATCCATGGATGGCAGCCACACGTGAACAGAAACACTCATCAAAAGAATGAATCTGCAAGCTAACAGCTACTGGAATTGGTTATGAAATAATACATTTTGCCTTAGTTATGAGGATATGGCATTTTTACCTAGGTTAATTATACGCTACAGAGAAATTTTCCATCCTCTGGCTAAATACTTTGGTCAGCAGATCATCTGCTCATCGCTGCCGCTGACCAAAACCAGATATTGGGTGATATATGATGCTGGGCCCCTGTGGATGCTTTAGCTTCTCACCATCAGCGTTTAGCTCACCTTCGAGATCTGGCCTTTTGAAAGTAGCTCCACTCAAAATAGACAACGATGCCTCTAACTTTACAAAACAGCTGACAATGGTTGATCATAGCATCAATGGCATCACTATTAGGTAATCCTTTTTAGCGCTCGCCGACCTCTGCCCCCTTTGTGTTATGCAACATTGTGCAATAGGCTTATTCTGAATGACGACTGTCTGTTATAAACAAGTTATTGATTTTCTTTTAGAGTTGAAAGCCAATGAGAGACTTGCGCTCAATAATCATTTTCTGAAATCATATGAGTCTCAGCATTCGTTTGGAGCATGGTAAGATAACACGTGGGTTTGTTCCTTAAAGAGTGGCTCCTCTGGTTGGCTTTTGTGTGAAGAGAAAGAAAGCAATCTCTATTGTCTCCTTTCTGCCTAGCTAGCATATCCCATTTGTTGGTAAGCAATGATGAGGCACTATGCAGGACAAAATTTCAAAGCATATGTGCATCATCAGCGAGCATATTAAAAATATCCCGATACAAAAATAATGGGTGAAGAGATTAGGCTTTACAATACCCCCGTCTCTACTAGTGGATGTTTATAACCACACGCCTTGGAACAAATGTGTGTTCGGAGACCCACTCCACAACACCGTTCAAAGAAAACACATGGCCGAGTGAGCTCTGCTTATACAAACAAAGCATGAAGCAATTGTTCCTCAACAAGATTAAGCAGACAGACAGTTTCTTCCATGATCCTTGATGAGGCTGGCCCCGAAGAGCACTGAGCTGACTTATTATCAGTGGGGAGCCCGGGGAAGGGCCACTGGATGGGGAAAGTGAAGCAAGGAAATACGCCTTCGAAAAGAACCCCATTTTCCTTTCCTTTACAGCCCGTCTAAGCTACACACATGTGTCAAACAGTCTTGAAAGGCCTGGCATTCTGCTGCAGGATTTAGTAACCAGCTTTTCAAGCTCCCGCCGTTCTGTGACACACTGCTTGTGGAGCTGTGAAAAGAAAATGCAAGGTCTTGTAGAAAGGTGTTTCTCCCAGAGGCCTGAAAATTTGATTCTGACGGAGGAAAAAAAAAAAAAAAAGTTGAAGGGCTTTTGCTTCCGCTACTGTGCGTTTTCTGATACTGTTTATCAGTGGCACATCTGGTTGGATCTGAACCCCAGTAATGAAATTATCATGGGATCTGAAGACTTAGAATGAGGGAATGAGTTTGGAATCAGCAAACTGACATATTTCATTCTGTTTGCTCACTCTGATGAAGTACAAACCTCAGCCTTACTATTAATATTTTACTCTCTTTCTCTTTTCAGAGCATGCAAAGGAGTAGGTTATTAGAAAGAATCACCGGGACTTCCCTGGTGGCGCAGTGGTTAAGAATCCACCTGCCAGTGCAGCGTACACAGGTTCAATCCTTGGTCAGGGAAGAGCCCACATGCCGCGGAGCAACAAAGCCCATGCGCCACAACTACTGAGCCTGCGCTCTAGAGCCCGCGCACCTCAATGAAGAGTAGCCCCTGCTCGCTGCAACTAGAGAAAGCCAGAAAGCCCATGTACAGCAACGAAGACACCACGCAGCCAAAAAAAAAAAGAAAAGAAAGAAAGAATCACCCTTATTTTTAGGATGAAAGTTGACTGGGCCGCAGATTTCAAGGAAGATTGTGTGCATGACGGGTCCAGAGGAACAATGGGAGAAGGTCGTCCTGGCAAGTTTTCTACTTGGCCTGAATCAAAAATAACCTGATTCATGATTTCAATGAAGATCTCATAAAAACGCAAATTGTGGGAACAGTCTTACCACCGACAGCCCCAACTTTAAGATACTGTGGTTTTGTGGTTTTGATCCCTACGGCAAAAATAGAATAATGTATCTAGAGTCCAAAATCACAAAAATAAAGACAGAAATGAAGAAAGAGATCGGCTTTAACCCCAGAGAGAAGGGCATGTATTCAGATAAAACAGCATCAGCAACTACAACAACAAAGCAACATCTATACAGGGAAACACGCAGGGAACACATAATTGTAATGATTCCAGAGATTCACCAGACAGCAAGGCAATAGCTCAGCTTTAAGAGTGCAAATCATAAATAACCCTGGCCTTGTTTGTGATGAAATTGGTGACAAGCAGCTACCTTTTAAGTAAAAAAATAGCCCAGGTTGCCAAGGCCATAATAATGACAGAGGTTATAAGACAGAAGTATATAGATGATTACCTCTTACACAATACACTGGAGAACCACAATACGTGACTGTCTTCATGGCTTATGTTTAAAACCACAAGTGAAAATGATGCAGGTTGCTTTTGTAAATGAGCTGCAAAGTACTGCTCTTTATTGTGATTATGAAGAGATACGATTTATATTATATAAAAAATTACATAAAGCTTGGAAAGCTGCACAGTTTTGGTATCACTAACGTAGAACAAAATATTGAAAATATCTTCTGTACAGTGTTTCACTAAATTAAGTCCTTACGCATTTCTCTCCATTAAGTAAAAATCATCCTTATTTTTCCAAAATAAAAATAGACAATACAAAAAATAAAAATACAAAACCCAAACTGTTAATAGACTAAAGAAAGAACAAAAATAAATGTATACTGTACAAAGTTTCAGTACTAATTTGAACTAGGTGGTATTATAAGACTTTCAGAGCTTCGTATAAAAGTGTGTGTGTCTCTTATGAAATAAAATTCATTAGTTTTATTAATATTTAATACTGTTTAAATAATCTAATTTTTCTTCATATAGATAAGAAAAAGAGCATGTATGCATATGTGTGTGTGCACTTGTATATATTCACACATACACATATGTGTAATAGTCTTATGAATGAGAATTTAGGGTGGGTTTTCTACTTAAATTATGAATAATAAAAAATTTCAAATTTTCACATATGTCCAGGGCTTGTAGAGAAAACAAAAATAAAATACAAGAAGTTTCTGTGCTTTGGGTGAAAACCTATGATGAAGATGATGATAATGATAAAACAAAGAACAATGATATCCCTTGAGATTTAAAGTCCTTATTTTAGCAATTCAAATGCACTGCAATCCTAGTATGAATTCCACATTCTGATGACAAATAGTCACTTAATCATGTTAAGAGTGTAAGTTGTTTACTCTGTTTAAAAGTGGCCATTGCTAATACTGGTAATGATTTTCTATAGAGGACTTACTGCCAACCTCTAATCCAAATAAAGTTAACTTTTGTCTCCTAGATCCTGTCCTCCCTGCCCTCCCCTCTACCCATCACACACTGTACTTACACAGCTATCGATTGAACTCTGTGGGTTCTGAATGTTGAAAAGCTTAATTGCTACTAATGATGTGAGTAATGGTTGAAAAATTGCCACACATACCAATTTCCCTCACCAAGATTTTATAAATATGTGTTTTGATCTTAACACACTATTTGTCTTCTTCTCATCTTTCCCAACCAGGGTTTGGATCTATTTTCCCATCTTAATCAGCAAGTAGGTTGAAAATAAAGGAGCAGCCCTCCAGTGTCCCTCACTGATGGGTGGCAGGCAGCCTCATGCACTTCACCACTGGAGGGTTCCGTGGGTAGAACAGCCCATGGGTCATGGAGGCTTTGGCTGGGAGGGTGGGTCATGGAACTCCAAGAAAAGGGTCTATTCTGCAGCAGCACAGAGACACCCTTGCCATAACTAAAGGGCAGCCCTTTGCTGCAAGAATGGTTTCCTCCAGGTGGATTTTCAAGAGAGGTGATTGCCACCCAATTTGAACTGGAGTGACATTGCACACAGCAAGGCTATCAACTAAGAAGGTATTTCTTGAGTCCAGGCATGGAGACCCATTAGGAGGAAATGACAGCAGATACCTCTGAAGTCTTAAAAACAGGAAGACAGGGCTTCCCTGGTGGCGCAGTGGTTGAGAGTCCGCCTGCCGATGCAGGGGACACGGGTTCGTGCCCCGGTCCGGGAGGATCCCACGTGCCGCGGAGCGGCTGGGCCCGTGAGCCATGGCCGCTGAGCCTGCGCGTCCGGAGCCTGTGCTCCGCAATGGGAGAGGCCGCAACAGTGAGAGGCCCGCGTACCGCAAAAAAAAAAGAAGGAAGACAAAAAGAGAAGCATCATCTGCTCAAATTCCCCAGGTCCAGGGAAGGCACTCTAGGGGTGCAGG